ATAATTCTAGGGAGCCAGCCGCAGTTTTTACTTTGCCCAGTTTCTACCCAAGCCCAAGTACAGTCTCTCTAAACTGTAAGTCTAAAGACTAGTGAATAGGGGTGACCAGAGGAGGTCAAGGATTAGTACATCCTCTGCCCTGGGGAGGCTGCTGTAGTTGAGGATGGATGGCATATAGCAACAGGTGCTTGCTTGCTTAGAACTCCATGTCAGTTTTGTCTCTCTCAAGCTATTTGTCAGCAGAAATGTACACCCCTGCACATGTGAATAGGCAAAGCTCAGAGATGGGGCACATCAGACCTAGTCAGACCTTGACCTCAGGCTCTAAAGGAAAGAAGACTAGAACATCAATATATGATGGAGGGTAGGTAGTACAGGATGCAGTAAGGAAAGAGGAGCTGCTTCTGTGAGAGCCAGGAAGGAAGAAATGACTTCTGGTATTCACCCATATTTTCTGATCCTGCTCTTCCTAGGCACTTGCACACAAAGAACAGGGCAGTCTCTGTCCTTGAGGAGCTAGTTCACGGTATAGGAAAGAAGATATACAATCAAGCTGGGTTTTACGGGAAAGGTGGTATCAGATTGACTTTTGAATGATAATTGTGAGGGGAAAACTTCCAGGCAGAAGGAACAAATGTTAGGCATTATGCTCAGATTAAGTCAGGACTCAGCTCGAATATGCCTTTCCTACTGCCCATGGGAAGAAGGCTTGGCATTTGAGGTCTGCAGCGGCTTTCAAAGCCCTGCTGAGGATGACTTCCTTTGTGAATCTTTACCCACATGCTCCTCCAATAAAGGCACACAGCCCTTGCTGTCACCTTATCACAGTCTCTTCTTCCCCATTAGACTGTGAGTGCCTATAGGGCAGGGAGCGTCTTAGAGCCTGAACACCTACAACTCAAGTGTTCATTAAATACTTGTTCTCATCGGATCTCCTAGCATCCCTGAGAGGTTACCTGGGCAAGTAGTGATTGATCCTCACTCACTTAATGAAGACACTGCACCCAGAGAGTCTGAATGACTTGCTCAGGGTTGCCCAGCAACTTAATAGCAGAATCTGGAATCACAGAATACACCAATTTAAGGCATAATGAAGGGAATCCTGCTGTGGAGAGGGCGATAAGAGGAGAGGTGGGTGTGGAGTAACCTTTGTCTGCTCAGCCCCCTACAGAAGCTGAGCAGCATGGACCCAGCTGTGCTGGAGCGCCTCCTCAGCTTGGACCGTCTCTTGGGCTCCCAGGGGAGCCAAGGAACCCATGGGCTGAACACCCCAAGGCGAGAGCGGATGGTGCTCATGAAGACCATGGAAGAGAAGGATTTGGAGATTGAGGTAAGTGTTGGGCAGGTGGAGCTGGGATTCCTATTGGCCTTGAGAAGCAATCTGAGGATCTTCAGATAGGGAAGGACACTGAAAGGCTGGACCAGCATCCGATTTCTACCTAACCGGGAATCCCTGTTCTTCAGCTTCTGCTTGAATGTCCTTAATGTGACTGGACTTTGAAAATAATTGATCAACTGTGAGGAGGTGAGGGGGGTGGAAATCCAGGTAAAAGGAACAATAGAAGAGACTGTCATTTTGTAACACCAGCTCAAATTAAGTTAGGACTTTCGAACGGTCTTTCCCTTCAGTGTTCCACCTCTGAGCATCCCTGATCATTAGACACCCCTTAATTACAGTGGCTCCAGTTGTCTCCTGGTAGCTTCTCTCCTTGGTCCTTGCCCTGCCTGCTAGGGTGTCAGAGTCCTGTACTCACTTTCCTAATCCACTGCCATCCAAGCTGCCTGAAAGTCGTTGGTTCTAGGTGACATGTCTCCTTGATCCTTTCCAATAGAGGCTGAAGATGAGGCAAAAAGAACTGGAAGCCAAGGTTTTGGCCCAGGAGGCTGTAGACCCAAAGGATAAAGAAAACTCCTCTCCTGCAGTGCTCCGACCGCTTGCACGCCGCACAGTCACAGTAGCTAAGCCCCTCAAAAAGGCTGTGGTGATGCCCCTGCAACTGAGTAAGTGTGGCAGTGGGGACCAGGAGGGCCAGATAACACATCTTGGAAAGGGAAGAGGTGTTTGGAGCAGCTTTCATCATGTCATTTGTGTGCTCCCACTATGTTGCAACCCCAGGGAAGGGTGAGGACTGTCTGAAACAGAGCTTGAGTGTTCTGTTCTCAGGCATTTAGTATGTTAACTAACATACAGACTAACAACAGACTACTTTCCAATACAAGAAAGGTCACATGGAAACAACAAAAGAAGAGGTTAATTTGGGATGGAGGGGACCGACCCAAGGAATCAGAAATGGGAGAACCAAGGGGCCACCAGGGAGGGTGAGAAGAAGTAGCCTCTGCCATGATTCTGGTTCACAATTCTTGCCTTCAGTTCAGGAGCAGGCGGCATCCCCAAATGCTGAGATCCATATCTTGAAGAAGAAAGGCCGGAAGAGAAAGGTGAGATTAGCTGGAGGCTTCGGCTACACTTAGAGCGGAAAAGGGTGGGTAGTAAGCTCTAGTGAGAAGAGCACTGGCCATGGAGTCAAAACACGTACCAGCAATTTACAAGTTATTTATCCTCTGAATATGGAGACACCTCATAGGGCATTTAGGATGACATACAGTATGTACCTAGCGGAGAGGGTGTCCAACACCTGTTACTTCCCTTTCTTCTGATGGCTCTCCCCCTCAGTCAGTAGCTACTTGCTAGGTACATTGTGTAGCCTGAGTCCCACTCTCTACCAACTTAAGAGCCCACTTAGGGAAACATGACCTAAGCATTCAAGAAATGAAACAACACCGAAAAAATTACCTAAAAACTGAGATGATATGTTGGGGGCATGGGTATCATTTATCGCGTGCCTTCTGTGTTCCTCCCTAGGAGTGAAAGATGATTTTTGGAGATGAGGCAGATTTAAGAGCTTACTATGTGCTTTGTTCTCAGCAACAGTCCCCACTCTTTCACAAGTCAGATAAAATGAGAATCAGCCCAGAGAGTGACCAGGGAGGAGGGTTTTTTGGACAAACACTTGAAGGAAAGAGAGGCTAGGAAGGGCGGGGAGGTAGCTGCTGTTAGGTTCCTATCCTTGGCAGAGGAGTCTAAAGCAGTTTGCTGCCACAGGCTGAATAGCAAACTCTGTTTCTGTCACTCACCTCCCCCTGCCTCATAGCTGGAGTCCCTGGATGCCTCAGAGCCAGAGGAGAAGGCTGAGGACTGCTGGGAGCTACAGATCAGCCCAGAGCTACTGGCCCACGGGCGCCAAAAAATACTAGATTTGCTGAACGAAGGCTCAGCCCGGGATCTGCGCAGCCTGCAACGCATTGGCCAGAAGAAGGCCCAGCTCATCGTGGGCTGGAGGGAGCTCCACGGCCCCTTCAGCCAGGTAACAGCCCCGCGAGGGTGGCCTGGAATGGGGGGCGGCAGAGGAGAAGCGCGGCAACCCCCCCCTCCTCCCCTGCCCCTTCCTATCGCTGCTGTCCTGCCAGGTGGAGGACCTGGAACGCGTGGAGGGCATATCCGGGAAACAGATGGAGTCATTCCTGAAGGTGAGCCCATGGCCTGGCCCCCTCCTCTCCCTGGCCTGTGCCCCGCCCCCAGCTCTAACGCTGCTCTCCCCTCCTGTGTTGCAGGCGAACATCTTGGGTCTCGCCGCGTGTCATCGCTGCGACACCTCCTGACTGCAGGCTCCTTTCCTCACTTGGCCATTTTTTTTTAAATTCTCGTATAACCGCGTGTCGTGTAAATACAGTTTTTACTCTGGTGCTTCAGCCTGATTCTTGGGACTACGGGGGTGGGGCCAAGGGTATAATTGCCCTTGGGATGGGCCACAAGCTCCGCCGCGTAACCTCTTTCGGCGCCATCTTTGGGAAGAGCAAGCAGGAAAGAAGCGGGGCAGGATTGTAAATAAACCGCTGGAATGGGGGAGAGGGGAAGGACGGTGGCCGAAAGGAATCAAAAACACTAACGCAAAAGCCCCAGAAGGACGACCGTTAGGCGGGCGCGCGCTTCGTGTTTAGCCCCGCCCCATCCGTACCCCCGGCGCGCGCTCCCCTGTTCTCCCGCTCAGCAACGACAGCGGTTTTATGCGCGTGCGCGCGAAATAACGGCCGCTGGCGGAGGGAGGAGGGGGGTGGAATCTTTGAAGGGGGGGGAAGAGAGAAGCCGCCCTGTCTCCCGCGCGCCCACCACCTGCGCCATCGTCAGCCAATCAGCGGCCGTCTCAGGGGTCTCGCGCTTGGGGCGACTCGGGCTGCTGGGTGGCTCCCCCGTCCCTCCTCCCGCCAAGAGTCCCTCTCGTACCTCCCCCCTCCCGCTGGCCTCGCGCGCGCTCGCGCTCGCGCCCGCTCCAGCCTCTTGTGTGTCCTCGCGCCCCCCGCCCGCCCTCCCCGCGCGCAGTGTGCTCCGCTCCCCCCACCCTCCTCCTCCTTCCCCCCTCCCGCCCGCCCCGCGCGCCTCCTCCCTGGGTTCCCCCTCCCCCACCGCCGCCGCCTCCTCCTCCCGCCCCAGGGTGAGCTCGAGCCACCTCCCTCCCTCCCTCCGCCATGGATCCCGGCAACTGGAGCAGCTTCATCTTCCAGGTAACAACCCCCTCCCCCCGCCCCCCCCGCCCCC